ACACACACACACACACACACACACACACACACACACACACACACACTCAGGGCATCATGACCCATAGGATGAGAGCTGCTGCTTTAGGCCATCAAATTTCTAGGCCTTTTCTTTTTGGCTTCGTTTTTTTTTTCTTTCTTTTTCTTCTTCTAATAGTCAAGCGTTCCTTTCTCAGCTCCTGGGGGAAAGCATAAAAGTAACTTTTATTCATCCGATGTAATTGTCATCTCCGAGACTTGCTGCTGAATAGGTCATCCTTTCTACTTCTTTCTGAAGTCTTAGTGGCTTGTTCAACTCAACAGTTCTAGCTCAAACTCCTCTCCAATCTAACTAATTCAAATTGATTTCTCTCAGCTTCTGACTGAATTTCTCTGCTTGGACTCAAACTTCTCTAGTAATCTGTTCTAATCTTGTGGCTCATTCTCTGGCTTGTTCTGTTTTTAACTGTCTCTAGCTTGTTCTCTCTGAAACCTGTGTCCTAAAACTGTCCTGGTAGAAACTGCCTCTGAACTCCACAAGCTGAACTGACACCACACTCAGTCACTTTTTCTCCCTGCACTATTCTATTTATCTATCTATGTATCTATGTATCTATGTATCTATCTATCTATCTATCTATTTATTTTTATTTTGTTACATTTTATTAACTTTCTATCCCTGCTGTATCCTGCTCCCTCTTTCCCTCCCAATCCCACCCGTTCTCCCTCCTCTCCTCCCTGCCCCTTTCCAAGTCCACTGATAGGGGAGGACCTCCTCCCCTTTTATCTGACCCTGTTGATGTGTTTTGTGCATCTGTTGGAATGTATGTTTTACTCTGTTTGTAGTTTCTACACACCCTATTTAGTTTGTATTTTGTTATCTTTCATGGGAATCATCCTGGTTGGTTTTCTTTGCTTGATTTTATGTTTGGAAGGAAAGTCGACATACTTAACAAATATGATTTGAAACTGTGGCTCAAGAATTACTTGCAGAAGACACTGACAGTTCTTTAATTCTCTATAGACTCTTTTTCTTCTCTGTTCTCATGAGGGTTGGCCGTATCTTATCTTGACTAATTCTGTCACATCTCTGATTCATCACTTTGTCTGCCCCTCATAAGACATTACTTTCAAACATGGCTGCTTCCTTCTATAAACTAAATCCTACCTACATTGTTTGGGATTAAAGATGTGTACTAAGGTCGTGTCTGTATTCCAGCTAGATCATACCATAATGCATGGCATCCTACATTCCAGCTGGATCACATACACCTAGAAGGTCTTTGTATGTGATCCCTTGCCAGAGCAGCTATGTCACTAGATTAACATTCCTCTACAAGAGACTGGTGGACTAGGAACCAGAACATCTTGAAACTAGTCCTAATGTCTCTTACTGAGCTTTCGTTTTGGAGATTTCAGTCTCCTTATCGCTACAAAGGCAAATATACTAAGATTCTCAGGGTCCTCAAAGCTCTTGAAATCTAGAATTTTATAACAATAAAACCAACACAACACACACACACACACACACACACACACACACAATTTCAAGAACAGCGTAAGCATCACCTTGTCAAACGTACTCTCTCTGACCACCTTAGCTGTTTAGAGTGATCCTGATTGAACTGGAGTACAACAACATGGGTCATTTATTTACCCTTAATCACACCCTCCACAATATTTCTTGGATGAATTTTTGATGCTCTTTTCTACTTTGAGCATTAAGATTTATTTTATTTCCTAGCTTGAGTATAATCTCCTTGATGATAATGTCTTTTAATTCTCCATTGCCTTCTTTGGGTCCCAGAATGAACATCAGCCAGAAGATTTGTTTTCAGGCATAAAATCACTTATAAAGCAACATTTATCTCTCACTAAAAGAAAGTAGTGTCACTGAAGATAAATGGCTTTGCCAATTAGTTATAAGTGCCATAAAAGAAAGTTATTAGACAGCAATCTCAGGTATCAAGAGTTCCTACTAAACAAGAAACTTAATTAGGGCTTCAGTTGAATGAGACCCAAGGACAAAAGGCTAGGAAAGAGAAGAAAGCCCCAGGTGTGCATATGTGTGTGTGTGGCGGGGACATTTATTAGAAATCTTGTCCTCACCAGCCAGAGAATCAGGTCTTAGTCTGTTGTGACAGTAAAGTCTGAAGACTTTTTATTTATACACTATTTATTTACTTGCATAAATATACTTGAATAGAAGTATAAAGAAATCCATAGGGCTCTTGTATTTCCTAAAGGTATCATGGAAACATATCTTTAGAAGGTCTATAACCAGAACAGGGAAGTTTGGTTATGCTTGAAGAATTCATTTTTTTTCCCTATTCACCTTGTGAGCTCATGTTGTTTTAGGTTTTCATGGTAACATTAGGTCACTTAGGAAGCTAGTCTTGGGTTAACAAGACATCTGAAAAGGTCGGTTGCTTGCTCACTAATCTAACTACTTGAGTTCAGTCTCCAGATCCCATAAGGTGACAATAAATAACTGAATCCTGGGAGTTTTCTTCTGTCCTTCACATATGTGTCATGACATCTATGTATCTGCACACACACACACACACACACACACACACACACACACACACATTTGAAAAAAAGGCTACTTTTAACCTTCTTCTGATACAATCCCCTTATACCCAGAAGGTCAGCCACATTGGACTCACTGTTCTCAGGACATACGCCACAATTTATCTTATTCTCAAGAATGATCAATTATGTCTTCTCTATTGGCTAACAACTTTTAGCCCATATCGTACTCATCATGTGTTTTTAATTCCAGCCACCAAGCCCTATGCCCTAAAGAATATTCCTTCTTCCTCATATTTGGAGACTTTTCCTTGGGTCCTGGACTCACCTAACTTTATTCTTGACACTTTTTTCATAACACTTAATACTGTTGACTTTTAGTCCTTACTATATTTCCTGCTTTGATTAGCCTGCAAGTTTCCCAAAAGATTCCTCTGTTACATTAAACTCCATTTTTTTTTATGTTTTTGTGATAGAAAGTTCTTAAATAATACACAGCAAGCCAGATGATTAGAATGAATGATGGGCATAACAAATGATTGATTCCAGAACATTTCAGTGAAGCTTCTTTCTTGGTTTACTTTAAGATAAAGAATGTAGTGAGCTTGTTGATGATCCTCTAGTCCTCCTCTTCATCCTCTGTCCAACACTAGTCACCAATTCCCTTTTATCCAGGCAGCATAAAAAAGGAAGTTGTTTTACACTAGGAAATCTTAGATCTGCTTTTGAGGCTTTATGCAATTAGCTATCATGTGCTTTTGTGTAGGATAAACCCTGTGCCATGTCATTGGTATACGAAATTAAGGATGTAGAAGCTTGAGTACAAAAACTGCCTTTTGATTGTACCAGAGCATTTTTAGTCTTTGCCAATTAGTTGACCATGATATCCCACAGGTTATCAATTTACTTGTAAATTTGATGTAGGATTGTCACAACTTTGAGGTCAGACTGGGCTTTGTTACAAAAAAGCAAGACAACTTAAGAGTTTTGGAACAGGCTAGGAAGAGAAGAAAAGACATATATTCTGAGATAGCAGAAAGGGATTGAGGGGGAATAGTAGTGTACACATGATATAAAGGTAGGATTCTGGGGTGGGGGTGTGGAAATATTTAAGCCAGCCAGAATGGGGATGGGAGGATTGAATCCATAAGGGAGTGGGGTTAACTAAACCAAAAAAAAGTATGCAGAGGTACCCTGTTTTTGTTGTTGTTGTTGTTTGTTTTTTAATAAAATCTCATGTGTTCGACTTGACCCATAAAGACTCAGGGGCCAGCTGCTAGGGTGAAAGCCTACTAGCTCAGAGAGGCAGAGAAGGCACCCAGTTGACCTTCCTCCCCAGCTGATGTCCAAAAGAAAAAAAAAAAAGAAAACCTCGTTCCCCACACAGTCTCAAAATGCCCTCAAAACTGAATGTCCCTCCCTTCTACTTCCTGTTAATCCTCCTGACTTCCTATAACTCCTGTTTTTTCCCCCTATTTTCACTCTCTATTAACTGGTTTCTTGATCCACCTCTTGACCTAGGGCTGCATACTTTCACCCACAGCTTTAGGCCTAGCTTTGTAGAGTGCCTGAAGCTTTGGTCTGCTTTCATTCTTTTTCAAAAGAGACCAGACCTCTTGTCTGGCTAGCCTGACTTTTTCCTGCCTTTAACCTGGTCCTTCTCTGGTTGTAAGCATGAATTCTAATTGCCTTAAGTTAGTCTTAAAACACCACAACTAGAAACCCTTTTTTGCCAGTAAACAACATAATCTTGGGGTTCACTATGTGATCAAATATCCTGCAACAATACCCTTAATGACTGGATAGAGCTGTTCTCAAAAGTCATAGGTTATTAATGAAAAATCCCAGTGCTAAATGTGTGATACCATCCTATGACTTGTTGGTCAAATAGGTCACAAGGGCTCCCCAAACAACATAGGCTATTGCTATTGGTTTTGGTTGCCCATAGGAACTAGATTGTAAGATCTCACTATTGAAGTTTCTACATCTTTTGTTTGTAAGACATTGAGAAATTAAGCAGGAATTAAGCTGGGCTTCTTCCCTTCTGGCTAGCTTCCATAGTGCCTGAAGGAGCTACAGAGGCCAATGGGGGAGAGAATTTCTCAACATTCCTAACAA